GAGGCAGTGAAGGACAGGAAGGCCTGGCGCAATGGTTCATGGGGTCATGAAGAGTCGGACACGACTTAACAACTGAACAACAACAACAATGAGTTATATTTTCTTTAATATGATTACTATGAACATTCAATAAAAACTATATTCTAAAATGTTATTATGACTTATGCAACGTAGGTTTAAATATTTTATGTTGGTTGGTTTTCTCAGTATTTCTGAAAATATCCCCTCTGAAGTCATTTTAATACAAAGGAAAAAAAAGGTTATAATTTTTCCAAAATTAAATCAAAATGAAATATCAAATATAATCTATTAAAGAGAAAGAACACAAGTTAAAAAAGAGCATGAATATAGTATATAAGGCACATGCTATAATTGCATATGCTCATCATTTTCTGTTCATAAACAATAGCAGTAACAATAGTCCTGTATATGTTTGGAACTGAATCATAATGTGTTCAGTGCAGATTTCTCTGTGCAAGTATATTTAGGAATGCTGCCTAAATTTCTAAAAAAGGGGGGGAATGTCATGAGCCAACTGACCCTAAAACTTTGTTTCTTAATGCTAGGAAATATATTCAATTAAGCTGAGTTTGTTCAGTGATGAAGTGAGGTTACCCTTCCTCAGGATGAGGTATAATTTTAATTCCTTCTTGTTAAAAGCAAATATGGGAAGACTTAAGTATGTTTTACATTAAGCTTGAATGACATATTTTGACTTAAAAATAGCTGTGCGTGTTTGTGTGTGATGTATCAGCCATGGCACACACATTTTAAATTTATTTATTGTACAGATTAAATAAATTAAATGGCGCAGGGCAGTTTATAAAAATGTAAACATTGAAGCAACATGGTCAGCAGCATAAAAAAAAAAGTCTTATAATTCTGAGCGTAAAGGAATATTGAGCCTTCTCCTAAATTGTAACGAGGACTGATCAGCCTTAAGAGCAAGAGAAATTTCTTCCAAAATATAGGAAAAGGGTAAAACCTTGAGTGTCGGTGCTAAAGATACCTGGCAGGATCTGTAAAACTCCATGGAAATTGACAGCTGACACTGGAAATGAATTCTTTATGCCTTTATCATTGGCAGAATTTAGTTCTTCAACTAAAGACAGATTTATCAACCCAATTACCCAGTGGATTGAAGACCTGATATAAATGTGATAGTTGCCTATAGACGTAGATTAGGCCGGGGCAATGAAATATGGGTGTATTTTACTGAAACTGTTACATTAAAAAGTATAAAATTATATATATTTCACATATACATATGAAATAGTTCTGTTTGTTTGTTTGTTCATTTATTTCCTACCTTCTTTATATAACTCAGGGCAGTGAGCAAAACTAATGCTCCTGCCTCCTATTTTCCCCACAACAACAACCCTATGAGGTGGGTTGGGCTGAGAGAGAGTGACTGGCCCTAAGTCTCCCAGCTGGCTCACAGTCTCCTGATTTCTAGGTCAGCACCTTAACCACTACACCAGACTATTATATATATATATATATTATAAGCCCTTGTCATATTTTATTTATTTATTTAATAACGTTATATGGCCACCCATCTCATATGCATGACTCTGGACAGCTAACCGTTAAAAACAGTAAAAATAATGAAAATTAAAAACAACATAAATAACATAAAATAACATAGCAGCTGAGAAAGCTCATGACATCCCATATCGTCACCCACATTGTCAGGGCCCCATATCCTTCTTCCTCTATAGCATCCTCCCTCCCTCCCCCT